CTCTCTCTCTCTCTCTCTCTCTCTCTCTCTCTCTCTCTGTGTGTGTGTATGTGTGTGTGTGTGCGTGTCCCTCCCCCCCCCCCATCTTTCTCCCGTCTTCAGCTTTCGTTCTATTTCTTCTTCTTCTTCTTCTTCTTGTTCTTCTTCTTGTTCTTGTTCTTGTTCTTCTTCTTCTTCTTCTTCTTCTTCTTCTTCTTCTTCTTCTTCTTCTTCTTCTTCTTCTTCTTCTTCTTCTTCTTCTTCTTCTTCTTCTTCTTTTTTGTGTTTTTGTAAGTGTTTTACGGCGCTCGCAACTGCAGAAGGTCGTATGAGCGCGCGGACACACCTAATATTTTCAGTTGGCAGGAAATTTTGAAGTTTGCTCGGGTGGCGGCCGAAGCCTACTCTTATCGATTTTAGACCACCAAGGGATCTTGCACACGGGCCCTCCGAGAATTTTTGCCCTTGTCCGAGAAGGCTAGGTGTATATCTTTCCTACCAGAAGATCAGGGGTGTGGCTGGAAGACAGCAGTAAGAAGAAGCAAAGGAGTAGCAGTAGAAAGGCTGTAGAAAGAATCAGGAGCCCAAAGGAGGGGGGGGGGCAAAGGAGATGAGGGAGTGGGGGCAGAAAGAGGAGACGAAAGCAGACGACAGAACATTGCTAGAGAGCAGGAAGGGAGGTGAAAGGAGACAAATTTAGAGAATAAAATTTTTCGGTCACTCTCCGGATTCGAACCCGGGACCTTTGAATGAGAGGCCAACACCTTAATCTCTAGGCCACGAGAGCCCCTTCTCCTTCTTCTTCTTCTTCTTCTTCTTCTTCTTCTTCTTCTTCTTCTTCTTCTTCTGATCGGCTGTTTTCATCAAACTGGACCTAGTCTGGACAAGAAAATTAATTATTTGACGTTTGAATGATATTGTCTAATTGTCCCAACGTGGCCGTTTGTTCATCTCTGAAAGAAATTCTGGCCACTCTCGAATGTATAAAACCAAACAAGGGTTCGAAAAAACGTTCTGCAATGTGCACTGCGTGTAAGGTATAAAAAATGCCACGACGCCGCGACTCCCCGAGGTAGACAACCCACATCGTGTGAACGTCCTGTTAGACTAAGGCTTTATTTAAAAGACATGTCTGCATTTTCAAAAGCTCTGAGTGCCAATCAAACATATTCGGTTTCCTTCACTGGAGGACGTTCATTGTACGTGACAAAATCTAGTTTTCGTTCAGACGGAGGTCGATGTCTAGACTTGGTATCTAAAAATAGAGAAACCGGACGACAGTTCCAAACACTAAGGGCACGTATATTATCTCTAGGCTCTATGACGAGTTAATGTGAATTCGGGGCGGTAACAGATTAAATACAGGGGATGGGGAGGAACAGCGTCTGGGTTTGGTTGGGAATTACAACTACGAACCATTTCTGCCCTCCCATTTTTGAATCTGTCTCTCTCTCTCTCTCTCTCTCTCTCTCTCTCTCTCTCTCTCTCTCTCTCTCTCTCTCTCTCTCTCTCTCTCTCTCTCTCGCGCTCTCTCTCTCTCTCTCTCTCTCTCTCTCTCTCTCTCTCTCTCTCTCTCTCTCTACCTCTGCACCATCGAAAAAAGTCAAACGAACATCCCACCTCCATAAACAATCCCCAAAACCTACAGCAGCAACAACAACGGCAACAACCCCCCCCCCCAAAAAAAAAACAACAACACCCCAACAACAACAACAATATTCATTATAAAAAATAGAACGCAAAAGCAGTTCCTCTAACCCCTTGTCCACTAGGGAGTATAACACTGAACACCTACCCCCCCCCGCCCCCTTCTCCAAACCCTAGGTTACTATTCCGAACGAATTGTGCAGTGCTCACAGTAAGAATAATCATTTATAGAACTCACTTCATTCAGCTCTTCTCCAAAAAGTCACACATCTTCTGCTATCGCTGAATAAGGCACTGCTAACGTAACGCTAAGAGGCCAAAAAAGCTCCCTTCTTTCGTCCTGAGGAAAGCAAACCTTGGAACCCCCCCCCACCTTTCCCTTTTAACCCATTCATTGCTCTCGTCTGAGCTCTTTCGTAACGTTTTAAAGAAGGTCTGGCAATGTAAGGGTTAAGCCGTCGCTCCCCCACCTCTCCCTTTCAACTGCAAGTGAGGTGATGCAGATGAAGTGCATTATATATCTTATTCATATAAAATGTTATGGGGGTCGGATGGGGTCTGCTGTTTTTTTCTTTTCTCCGGGGTGACTTTCTCCTTTTTCTGTTCTAGTCCAGTTACGGCTGTTATTGTTATTTGTATTGACTCGTCAGAAACAACCCACAACAACAGCAGCAACATCACAACTACCATCACCATCATCACCACCATCACCATCACCACCTTAATCATAATCAACAACAACAACAACAACAACAACAACAACAACAACAACAACAACAACATCATCAAATAAAAGAAAAAATGTCACACAGCAGCAGCAGCAATAACAATAACAACAACAAAGACAATAATGATAA